TGAAACAAAGTGTGCGGTAAGCTCAATATCCGAGACATCTTTTCATTGCACCAAATCGGGCTTTGGAAGAAATATTAGTTGATTTTCATTGATCTTGTTAGATGCCAGTTCCTCTCTACTACAAGTAAAATTTTCACTTGTTGAATGGATAGCAAGCTTGAGTGTGTGTTTTTAAGGGCACGGATAAAGCTTCCCACACCCCTTAATTTCATTGACCATCCACACGAATTGAGGTATAGGAGTTAAAAGAAGTGCTTTGACGCAGAGATACTGAAGTTGCTCTTGCTCAACTAATAAAGTCCACTGGTCTAGCTAGTAAGCTCCCTACACACGAAAATGAAAAAAATAGTGAGAAGAAAAGTACAGAAAATAAAATAAAAATGTGTATGCTAATAAGGCAAAGGTGTTTAATGGTATGTCGAAAAGATGGTAGAAGCATTTCAAACTCTAATCGTTTTTCAAAAGTTTCACCGTATGTGCGTTTGAGACTCATGTATGGTTGATGGTTTATGATTGAAATGAGTATCTTGTTCATACATGCTGATGTGTTAGAGTTCTTTCATGTTATTGTTGACCTTGTAATTTAATTTTATGATCCATAACCTAAGATCGATAGTTGAATGATGTCTTTGGTGTTTATAGTAGTATGATTGCGAGTAGTGTTTGTTTGGAGACAAGCAATGTCCAGGTGTGGTGTATTTCTTATGATGCTCAATTTATAGTGTTTATCATTCCCATATTTGATACATTTTCCCTTCTATCGATGAATCTTTAGTATATTTTGCTATGTTTTATATGAAAATCCTAACTATTTGATCAACGTAATGATAATAAACATATATTGTGTTTTAGTATCCGTTTATAGTTTTTTCATGTTATTTTGCGCTTTCCAAGGTCAAACACACCGTAGGATGTTTTAGATCCGCAATTGGACCAAGTTGGAGGATCAAAATGGATAATTATAGAAGATCAAGGATGATTCATCTATTAAATGAAGTCCAATGGAAGGAAGTCTTCATGAATTCGTCATATAACCCCAAGAGGAATCTAATGAAGAAATTTCAACCCAAGTATGCAAAGAAACCCACGAAGACCTTGTGATGGTGTCAACCACCACGCCACTGAGCCAAACCCTACAAGTCGTGGCCAAAATTCATGGAGAGGTTGCTTGCGGTCCAAACAACCCAAAGCAAGAAGAAAACTAGTGTGTGTCCCCGACTGTTGCTCGACCGTCGTCGTTGACCCAAAGGCCCATGAACGCTTCTAGAAGTCTCTTACTTCGTCCCCGAGACAGAGAAATCGAGTCCAAGTGGTAGAAGGATGCAAGAGGCTGATTTTTAGGAGGAAAAATCCAAGAATACTCTTTTTATTGTAGATTATCCCGCATGTGGTGAAAGCTCGCTTAAGAATGCATTAGTGAAAGGATAGAGCATCATAAATAGATCGATTCATAGGTGTATCTTATTAATGAAATTGTATGCATGATTATTTAGATGAAACTACCTAAATAATAACCTTTATTACTTATTTCTTGTTGCTTTAATCATTTACTTTCTTATTTGTTTTGAATAAATCTCGACCAAACCATAGGGAACCTCAACCCATCGTATTTATTTTTGTTGTCATCTCGTTATTCGAATACATACCTCTAAGATTAGAAGAAGAATAAAATTGAAAAAATGCAATTCGCAAGCCAAAGGGAAACACGACGTTGTGTGATCTCCAACCCGACAACCTTGCTGCGAATCGACCTGCAAGTGTGTGACTCCCTTTTTCTCACCGAATCTGGGTTAATTGGGTCAACATGCGAAACAAATTTCCAGTTGAAAAGATAAAAAAACAATTGCAAATCACCCTCCAAGCAGCGAGTTCAAAGGATATGATAAAAAGTTAAACCTGTCCAAATCCTCCATGGTCGTTTCAGCCAACATATCTCGCACCAAAGCTCAACAACTCAGCAATAGGGCGGGTATTCCGCTGACAAATGACATTGGTAAATACTTGGGGACCAATGCGATCAATGGAAGGGTTAAAAATCCTAGATACAAAGAGATCTTCCTGCGGATTCAAAAGAAACTAGCCATGTGGAATACAAAGCATCTTTCACTAGCTGCCCGGATCACCCTGGTGAGATCGCTCTCATCTTCTATGTCGATTTATCCAATGTTCACAGAATCTCTTCCAACGACTGTTTGAAATTCTCTTGATAAAATTAACAGACAATTCATATGGGGAGAAGAGGAAGGGAAAGCTAAATTTCATCATGTGGCTTGGGACCAACTGGTTTTGCCTTGCCCGCATGGAGGTGCTAGAGTTAGACCTACAAAGAAGACAAATCAAGCCATGTTAGCTAAAAGTAGTTGGAAACTCATTACGGAAGACCAGGCCTTATGGACTAGGGTCCTCAAAGACAAATATGCCCAATCTAAGGAAGGTCTAGCGACACTCAACAAAGTAAAGGGAAGTTCTTTTGCTTGGTGAAGTTTTACTTCTGTTACGGAGGTTTTAAAGAAAGGTTATGCTTTTAATATGACTAATGGCAGACGAGCTAAATTTTGGACGGGTCCTTGGGTTTCGCATGTGCCTCTTGTGGAGCTTGCTAAGGCAAACATGGAAGAGGAAATCAGAAGCAGAAGGGTGTTTGACTACTGGATAGGGATGGAAGCTAAAAGAATTGGAGAACCTGCTTCCGAAAACCATCATCAACCAGATTAGAGGCACTATGCTCGGCCCGCTGTCAGGGGAGGATGATCGGTCGTTGTGGAACTTAAGCTCTACGGGGCAATTCTTAGCGAGTTCAGCCTACAAGGCAATGATTCCTGAACCTGCAACTCAGTCGACGACTTGGAAAAAAATATGGAAACTACAAGTTCCTGAGCGCGTCAGGGTCTTCATGTGGATGGCGGTCAAGGAGAAGCTTACTACTAATGTCATCCAAAGATAAGACACCTGACTAACAATGAATCCTGCCCTCATTGTATGGGCACTCCGAAAACAAATATGCATTGTCTGAATGACTGTAAATTGGCCAAAGAAATATGGAAAAGAGTCATTTCTGTAGACAAACAAGCAGCCTTTTTCGTTGTCAACTATGAAGAATGGCTTTAGAACAACCTCAACAATGAAGATGAAGGCCACTGGTCGGGTACTTGGGCTAGTTACTTCACTCTACTTGCTTGGTATATCTGGAAGAGTAGGAATGATAACATTTTTCAAAGGAGTGAAGCTACCAGCCTCAACGCTCTACAATTATGTGACAACAAAAACAAAAGAATGGGCTAAGGTATGGGAAGCAACAACCAAGGCGAATAACTTTGCAACCCCCAATGAAAGAATCGAGAGTTTTGATTGGTTGGAAAGGCCCAAGAGCCTGATGGTGGAAGCTTAATACTGATGGCGCAGCTCAAACCAATCCCGGAATTGCAACAATTGGAGGAGTTCTTCGAAACTGTCATGGAGATTGGGTTGGGGGATTCTGCAGTAAGTTGGGACATGGTACAACCCTAATGACAGAACTTTGGGGTATCTACAAAGGGCTTCAGTTGGCATGGAAGAAGGGAGCTCAATTTCTGATTCTTGAGTCGGACTCGCAGTTGGCTCTCGACCTACTCAGCAAACGTACTGATGTTGTCCACCCCTATGCTGCTATTCTCGGAATGATTCGACGAAGTCTTGCTCAAAGTTGGGGTGGTTCAAATGGTTCATACGTATAGAGAAGGGAATAGAATCACAGTCTCGTCTTTGTTTATGGCTTTTAGCCTCCAATTTATCAAAAATAACAAAAAAGGTTAAAACAATCAACCATCTAGAAACACAACAAAACCGGATTAGCTCAACTAAGCCCATTTTCCATCTCACGGGGCCATGTGTCGATACAACTAGAAATACATAACCCCCTAAATGGCATATTGTTAATTATAAAGTCATTAAATATTTCAAATCGAATTATATTAATGGAAATTGTGGTTGACCCCCAATTAATGCATTTTAATTTTTTAATGGGTTTGATCCCAAATGAATGAACTTGAACCTATAGGTACTCCATGTGATCGTTACACATGAACATGATCAATAACTGCTTTCTTTTAATGTTTTTTCTTTTCAAATGTAACATTTCCCTTGTGTTTAAATGAAGAGTCTTATGATTTATTTAACTTTTACGAAATTCATTCATATACGATCATTGTGTTGTTTGAAAGATTTGCTTTTAATTCGTTTAACAAAAAAGACTAAGATATTATATTTTATATCTTGATTTTAATTAACTATCTTTTCATTTATTTGAAACAATATTAGTGGAGTAGTTATTTGAAATAATTCAGAAATACTATCGAAATACTACATTCTCAAATGTTAAATAATTTTCCTCCAAAATATCACATACGTAAAATAATGCATCAGAACTATCAATTTTCCCTCCTTTTGCATATACATGGCATGTCAGACCTACATTGACTTTACATAATTGCACCAAAATGATATAAAAACGAACAAATACTCCATTCAAGAAATTACCGTAAGATTCCAATTCTTTTTCACTCATTCTTACACTGATCCATACAGAAAGTTTTTACAAAAACTCATCAACTTAATACAAAACACGACTCAGGGGCGGACCCAAATTTGTGCAAGGGTTGTCACTTGACAACCCTTGGATGCAAATTTGGGCAAAAAAACCTTTATAAAATTTTGTTTTAACAGTAATAGTATTCAGACACTACATTATTGGACAACCCTTAGTAATTTTGGTCTATTGTTGAATACCCTTAATAAAGTTTCTGGGTCCGCCACTAAAACACGTCGACAATGTTGGCGACTCAAATATTTAAACGGCATCGTGGAGGGCAGCTGAGAAGATACCGGACCGGAGCGGCGGAGTCACCGCATTTCGTTTTCTCATCAAAGTTCCCATTCCAAAGAGTTCAAATCAATTCCGTTTCCCCACTTTCTTTCGTTTCTTTTCTTTAATTAATAAATATTAACAAATACACCAAACTGTAAAAAGAAAAGGCCAAAAAACGAAACCCCTCCCCCTCACTCTGATCGACTTGACCTTCTCAATTCGCTCCCCCGCCAGCAGCTCGCACTCGTCTCCCACCTTCTTTCTCTCTGCAATTTCCCCCAAAGTCCCCCCTAGATATTTTTTTCCGTCTGGAGTTTCTTTCTCCCATCTCTCTCCCTTTCAGGATTCTCACATCACAGGTCCGTCTCCTTCCGTACCCTTCTTCTGTTCACAATCACTGTGCGTTTGCTTCTTCTTTAATACGTGTGCGATTCACCGACTGTCCTGATCGTCCGAATTGCCGATCCTTTGATTGGGGCGGCATCAGTAGTAGATCTAGGGTTTGTGCGAGTTGGAATTTTGTTAACATTTCTTTTCTTTCTTTCGTTCAGTTCTCGTCTCCGTTACGCTCTTGCAGGTTTGTCGAGCTGTTCTTTTGTTGCTCTACTGCGTCGCGGGAGTTTCCCCCCCGGTGGAGTGGGCTTGAGCTAAAGGAGGTAATGCATTTCCGAAACCCGATTGATTGGTTGGTTCGAAGGTATTTGCGTGGTGTTACTGATTTTGGAAAAAAAAAATATATGGTAGATCTGGATCAGCGGCGGGGTGAATTCAGCGAGCGTTCTGAAGCGCCAGAACGGGTTGAATCGACGAAAGTAGTGAAGAAAGACGGTTTGCAGGGGGAGGAGGAGACGGTGAAGATGAGTGAAGGCCAGAAGTTCCAGTTGGGGACGGTGGGTGCTTTGAGCTTGTCGGTGGTCTCGTCTGTCTCCATTGTCATATGCAACAAGGCGCTGATCAGCACTCTCGGTTTTACTTTTGGTGAGTTACCTGTCAATGCTTACTTAACACTCCGGAATCCTATCCCTTTTTATGTATTTGGAAGAACTTCTTGTTGGTTTGGATATTGCTGAATGCCATTTTGGGACTTCTGGGGCGAGCTTGAATTAGGATTTTTTGATGAGGCTGTGACATTTTTTGTGTCGGTGCTGGGTAGTAGGTCGTCTAAGGTTTGTTGTTGACATGATAAAGTTGTTAGTTTGTGTGAAGACACTGCCTAGTGATGTAGTTAGGGAACTGCTGTTCCTGCGTTTGACCTTAATTGAAATCTGCTTGAATGAATTCACCGCCAATGCTTTCTTGAGTCTCATTCTGTCATTGTTTTCTTATAAACTATCCCAAGTCAGTAGGTAAGGACCAACTGTTTTGTGTGCAAATGTGATTTTGACAAGGACTTGAGCTTGCTTGATTTTCAAGGGTGAACCCAGCGTGATGGATTATATAGTACTTTTGACCACGACAAGTTACCATTTTGGTTTCTTGGTATGCTTTTGGAGATATTTCTGTAAACTTGTTTGCTAGTTATTTATGGCTAAATTATCTATTGGAGCTAGTCTTATGAGGCGTTCCAATTTTTTTTTTTGGCCCTCTTGTTTTAAAGTTCAGATCTGGGGTCTCTGAAAGCAGTTTTCAGATCTGACTTTTCCGGAGTTACTTTATATTGAATGTATTTATTAATCCCTGCTGATTACAGCAGTTGGGAAGGATTCCTGTGCTTTAGTATTGTTAGATGTATCAATAAAGGTGTTAGCATCAAAGATGTGCTCTTTAATTTGATAAAGCGGTATCAGTAAAGGTCTTAGCATCTAAAAAGGTATCTTTAATTTTGTAAATATGTCAATGAAGGTGCTAAGATTCTACGAGGTGTTCATCCAAATCATAGTTACTTCATTTGTTGCAGAACTAGTTGTCATTGTAGTTAGTATATTCAATTTCTAACTTTCTTATGTTTATTCTCTCCTTGCAGCCACGACATTAACAAGCTGGCATCTTTTGGTCACTTTTTGCTCCCTTCACGTGGCGTTATGGATGAAGTTGTTTGAACACAAGCCTTTTGATGCAAGAGCTGTAATGGGATTTGGCATATTGAATGGGATTTCCATTGGACTTTTAAATCTTAGCTTGGGTTTCAATTCTGTTGGTTTCTACCAGGTAAATCATTTTAGCTCCATATGATTTTCCTAATTACTTCCAAAAAACCTTAAGTATATTGCCACAATTTTCTTCCCAAAGGCTATCCAACAGATTGCCTTAAATGGTTCCCTAACATTTGTTTGTGCTTTAAAATAACATAATAACTGGGGAAGAAGAGTATTGAGACTCTTAAGGGTAGAGATTATCTTCTTTCTAGCCCAATGAGCTTGTGAAATCAGCAAAATGACCAGAAACTTTGTATGACACCCTTTACGGGACTGTTGATTTCCCTAATTATGATAAATCCTATGTGCTAATGATTTCTTATAATTTCTACAGCTTTGCTTGTTGTTAGTTCCTGAATATGCTCCTTTTGTTTGATATCTTAGATGACAAAATTAGCAATCATCCCGTGCACTGTCCTGCTGGAGACCCTGTTCTTCAGAAAACTATTCAGGTGAATTTCGATATTCATATAGCAAAATGATTGACTGGTTTAGCTCTATGATTGGTGCAAGTCTGTAAATCTTGTTGCTCTCTCCATCTACCTGAAATGGTAACCAAAAGGTGTCAAGTGTTTATTGCATTTATTGTCAATCTGCAAAATGTATTAATGGGTCTGACTGTTGTTTCGGTTATTGTCTCGGTTTGTCAGTTTATCTGGAAATAAATGTATTGCTATTCTGATTATGTGCTGACATTTCTTGCATCACTGCAGTCGAAATATCCAGTTTTCACTGCTGATCCTCCTTCTCGGTGTTGGAATTGCAACTGTGACTGATCTACAGCTTAATATGTTGGGCTCTGTCTTATCACTGCTTGCAGTTCTTACTACCTGCATTGCTCAGATTGTATCCTTGGCCTATTAGCTCTGTTATTGCTACATTGATGTTGTTTGTCCTCTTCTTGATCATGTTCTCGTTTGCTTAGAACTGGTCTTCCAGACAATGGTACTTTTTGTCCTTTTTTTCTTCTTCCTCTTTTGCAGCACCTGTTGTCAAACCCTTAACCAGATTATCTCAGATGACAAATACCATCCAGAAGAAGTTCAAAGTTTCGTCAACCCAGCTTTTGTATCAATCTTGCCCCTATCAGGCATTAACTCTGTTCATCGTTGGTCCATTTCTAGATGGGCTCCTAACCAACCAAAATGTTTTTGCTTTCAAGTACACCCCTCAAGTCCTGGTAAGCATGGAAGAATATCCAAAATCACTTCCTTTCCAGAGTGGGCCTTTTGCTATCTTGTAATCCAACATTACCTTTCTTTTTTGGTTGCAGTTCTTCATCGTACTCTCCTGCTTGATATCAGTCTCTGTAAATTTCAGTACATTTCTGGTAATTGGAAAGACATCTCCAGTCACCTATCAGGTCCTTGGTCACCTAAAAACATGCCTAGTATTGGCCTTTGGCTATGTACTGCTTAAAGACCCGTTTAGCTGGAGGAACATTTTAGGTATCCTTGTTGCTGTAGTTGGGATGGTGCTGTATTCCTACTGTTGCACGTTGGAGACCCAGCAGAAGCCCCAAGAACCATCAGCCAAACAGCCTGAGGTAATTTTCTTACTTCTGCTGTTCTGCGTGCATGACTTTCTGAGTTTAACTAACATTCCACCCTGTCTTTGATTTTGGTGCAGGGCAATGAAAATGAATCGGACCCTCTCTTAAATGCGGAAAATGGAAGTGTAATGACAGGCGATGGTGGTGCAATAAAAGCCCCTGCATGGAAGTCAAACAAGGACCTGCACGCATGAAGGCTGCGCCCCTCATGTTCTGCAGCGCGGATATATTCACCCCGAATGTAGAGGGAACCCGTAGACTGAATTGAATCCAGCGATGAAGATGTTGCTGGAGAAAGGGGGTGTCCATGTGTTGATGATGACATAGGAGCAGAGAGCAAGTTGGCAGACCACTCTGAAGATCGTTACTTTATTTTTATCTATGGGTAGACTTTGAAAAGAGTTGGGAAGGAAAATGTGGCGTTGATATAGTAATTTTTTTACTGATTAGTCTTTTGTATGGAATCAGGCAGGGAGCTTGAGAATGAGAGCATGGTGGCAGAATCGGATTCATTAAATCTTATACTGTTAGTTCCTTACGGACTGGATAAATTTCTACGATGTAGTTCTTTCTTGATAAAATGGACTATTCCCTATCAATCAGTAGGGGGGACTCTTTTGGCTGCGAAGACAGAGTAGCCAATTGAGGCATGGCGTCGAGTTCACTTTGGGTTAAGTGTTATTTTATTTGAATAGGAGTTTTTGATGTTTGAGATTCCTAACTCCTACTAAGTGCATCGACGACTCCAGTCGGTTCAAACGGTGAAGTTTGTCTCTCATCGCTCTGGCTACGGCCACAACACAACATTGTGGAGATCTAAATGGCTACCTTAAATGATTCTACTATCGTTGAGCGGTTCTGCAGGGAAGGAAGTATGTTGTAATCTTGTGGCCTCCTTGAAGTCAATTGACTCGTGATTGTCGTCTCTACGTGACCTCATCATCTATGATCTGGCAAGACGATCATTGAGTTCATTCCCTATCGCTCATTCTCTCGTTCATGCTCGAGCACTCTGTTTTGATAAATGAGGTGACATATTAGACATTTTGACTTGGACTTAAGGAAGGAATTAGCATAAGGTGTTCCCAAGCTAACATGATAATTGGGTGTCTGCTCTACTTGTCTGGTAGGCAAGCAACACACACACAACTTTCCAAAGAAGAACAACTAGAGAGCAAACCAAAAACTACAGCTAATACATGTTGATCTATGTGGCTCAATTACTCAAACATCTAATGGAGAGAAGATGAATATCCTAAACTCACTCAAGTTTGAGCAGAAAGTTGTAAGTTTAATTCTTAGCTTCAAAATGTGAAGCTCTTGAATGTTTTAAGAAGTTTTAAGTACTAAGTTTAAAATGAAAGTGGAAACAACATTGTTTTGTTGGGTTAATTGCATGGTTGGTCACTAAGATTACAAAAAAACGTTCATATTTGGTCACTGAAAATATTTAAATTCAATCTTGGTCACTCAAATTAGTTAAATGGTTCAAATTTGGTCACTCTCCGTTAACTCTAGCTTACGTGGCAGTCAACTTTCATAGTTGACCGTTAATTATATGACATGGCAATTAAAAAATTATTAAAAATAAAAAATAAACTTTTATATTTTCCACCTCATTATTACATTCATTAAAAAATAAAAACTTAATAAAAAACAAACTTTTATATGCTCATTCTTGTTTGGGGATTTGGGTCAAGCAGTTGGTACTGCTTCCGGTGGATCTTCTTGTACATTAGAGTCAAATTGCTGCCGTCGAATGGAAGAGATGCGAAGAGGAGGAAGAAGGGAAGGACTCCGCAAGACCAGGCATCCGCTTTAGCGTCGTCGTAGCCGCGGCGGTAGAGAACCTCAGGGGCGGTGAAAGCGGGGGTTCCGCAAGCGGTGTGGAGGATTGGTTGGCGCCGCCGTCGACGGCGTCGTCTAAGGCGGAGAGGCCAAAGTCGGAGACCTTCAAATTGTCGTCCTGGTCGAGGAGGAGGTTCGACAACTTGACGTCCGTGACCTCCGATTTGGCGTCGTCCGCCTCCCGCAGCCGGATCTCAATCTCATCAGAGCATTCACCTTCACCAACACCTCCCTGCTCCTCTCAACTCCAAACTCGCTCCCCTGGCTTCCAATCGCACCCTGGCCGTCCATTGGCTGCACGTCCATGTCCTCCCTTTCTATCCGCGCTCCAAGATTGTCGCGATCTCCGTCGGCGAGGACGGCATCGCCGCCTCTGAGCTCCCGTTCCTGCTTCTTGCCATCCGCAATGTCCACTCGCGCTCAGGGACATCGGAATCAGGTAGATCTTCGTTTCCACGACCTTCTCCTTCATCAACATCGTCACCACGGCGTTTCCTCCATCGGCGGCGACTTTCAAGGAGCCGATCAGCGAGGCGGTGATCCGGCCGCTGCTCTTGTTCCTGGAGACACCAACTCCTCCTTCTTGGTGAATCTTTATCCGTACAGCTCCCACTAAAATTTGTTTAATGGGTTTCCATTTTGTTCAGTGAATCTACGGCGAACGGAAGGTGTTCGTGCCTTGAAACCCTCTTCCCGCGCCTTCCGCTCCAATCCCCTTGACTTCCCCAGTTATGCGCCCTCCTGCACCCACACAAGCACCTAGCGGACCAACTTGGTCCGTTAGCACTCCGACGCTCAAGTGAGAACCCTACTTTTAGAGAGAGAAGTGAAGGAACAGTTCTAGTAAGAGAAGCAAAACTGAGTAAATGAGGTTTACCTACTCGATTATTTATACCCGGGGCGAGATCGACCGGTATCCGTCGCTCTCGCCCTGTGTCAGGCCCGTCATAAATGCACCGTACGTCCCTCGCGCATGCGCCTCGACCATCTGACACCGCGATCAGAGGCCCAAGGCGCATGACATCATTAAGTCAGCCTTCCGTAGCCTTTCGACCGTTGGTTACTTTTGTCTTGTGCGCCCTTCGCCTGGTACCCGGTCCCACCTGTCTCCCACGTCACTCTGGCCACCTGCGCCCTTGTCAGGGCGCCCCCTTAGCCCAAAACCCTTGCCCCCATGGGCTTTCCTGAGCTCCTATGGTTGGGCCCACATCCGCATCCCACTAACACCATTCTTTGGATCTTCCTTTTATGTTGGCCCCTGGCCCATACTTGTTCCTCCAACAATTGCCCCCCAGTTAGGCGCCTAACACCCAAGGTTAGGGGTCTGACTGTATTCTCCTCCTTTAGGGTTCGTGCGCCTCCCTCTTGATGCTTATGCGCCTCTTTGTTCCTTTGTGCGCCTCTCACTGTCCCGCCGTGCGCCCTTCCCATCTGCAGCCTGCTCCTCTGCTCCTGCCTTGTACTTTTCTTCAATCCCCAGCGTACTTTCTCTCTCTCTTCCTCGCACACTCGTATATATTTCCTCTTCTTCCTTATCATTATTGCTTATTTTTCGTTTCGCCCTTCTTTTTTCTTTTTCTTTTTTCTTCGCGACTGTTCCTCTTCCGCCTTTCTTTTCGTGCCCCTGTGACTCTTGCTATTCCCTTCCCCCTCTCCCCTCCCAATCCGGTCGGGATTTAAAATTCAAATTTTGAAATCGAGAGCGGATTGGGGAAGCCTCTTCGCCTTCCCTCTCTCTCTCTCCCCCGCTCGCTCGGCCCTCCTTATAAAATCCCTCCTCCCCTTCCATGAATTTTTTCATAACTCACATACATCCTCTCTCTACTTCCTCTCTCTACCCGCAAAACCTCCCCCCTCTCTCTACCTCCTCGCGCGCCCCCGGTCTGCAATGGCCTCGTCTCGCCAAATTCCTCTTCCTTCCAACGCTCCTGCGCCTTCCACTGAGCCGGGCGCCCCCGTCCACGAGTCCACTCCGCCTATGGCTGATGCGCCTCAGGCATCTCCGACGCCTTCCATCCCTCGAGCGCCTGTCGAAGGCGAGGCAACAAACGCCTCTGCTGCACCCCGTAAGTTTTCCTTCATGCGCCTTAACTTTTGCTGTGTCGCCTACTCTTCCCTTCTCCCTAGTCCTTTCTGATGCGAACATAGGATTCATGCGCCTTCTACTGCAAATCGGGGGGGTTTTTTTTTGTTTGAGGCGCACATCCTCCCTTTCCCCCCTTTGCCTCACTCCTTCCCCTTCCTTTGACTCAGGCGCCCCCGTGCCTCAGGACTACGTATTCAGACCATGAGACTCGATGTGGCCTCCCGGCTATGCGCCCCAGGACACTTCGAGATTCCTTCCGGAGGATGTTGGCCCACACCACGCCTCGAAGCAGTTGGGGGTGCGGCTAGAGAAACTCGTCGTATGCGCCCAAATGCCTGCGCCTTGGCGATATATCCACGCGCCTCGCCAGGCACGGATTGGTTTGTGTGGCGATGGGTGGGTGGGCCTATACCAGGAGTTCATCCGATTCGGCCTGCGTTTTTCCATCGATCCTGTGCTCGAAGGCGTGATGGTCTCCTGCGACTGCCCCCTTGCGCGCCTTTCCCCCGCCGTCGTCTTAACCACCATCGTTTTCCGCTACCAATGCCGAAGACACCACGTTCCCCCCACCTTTAAACTTTTCAAACATTTTTTCAAAATGACAAAGAGTAATAATTGCTTGATTTTGCAAAGGCGCCCGCTCGGGTATGAGTTCATCAGCAGTTGTGTGAAAATGGGGCGCTCGTGGTTTGACTCGTACTTTTTCGTCAAACCACGCGAAGTGCCCTTCTTCGAGAGTGGGCGCCCTGTAAGTTCGGCCTGGTCCCTAGGGAATCGCTTCGCCTTTAACAAGGAGGAGCCACTTAGTGATATTGAGGAGGCCATGGCTAAGTGCATATCGGCCCACCCCATTGACCTCGAGGTGGGGGATGAGTACGCCCGCGTCCTCGCTGATTTCTACGGCGACGGTATTGGCTATGCGCTTCTGCTATCGTGCCATGCTTTGTCGTTCTGACACATTATCTCTCTAACTTTTTTTTTTTTTTTTTGCAGGGACCGATTACACTTCGGTGACCAACCGGATAAGGTCGAAGCTTGACTTGCTGCGCAATGCAAATGCCGGTCGGGCCGCACCTATCGGTCAGGCGCCTCGTCCAAGGAGGGTTCGGCCTCAGAGGGGGCGAGGCGCCTCTACTGCAGGCCTTTCAACCGCAAGGCGCATCCCTTCCCCCTTGCCAACCGGGTCGGGAGGTGACATGGGAGGCACAGGTTCTCCCTCTGGGCGCCCCGCTTCATCTTCCTCGACTCCATCCTCCCGGGCCACACCCAAGCAGACTACCGGAGTGAGCACTCCGCCTTCCCCTTCCTCTGTGGGGTCTCGGAAAACGGCGGGCGCTACTCTTCAGGATAAGGGTAAGAGGTCGAAGTTTGCTGCCGCGAGTGGGAGCGGCTTGCCACCAAGTTTCGTGGAGCCCACCATTGGGGAACACACCGGTCAAGTGATTCCCCCGTACTTCCAACCTCGGCGCCCCCTTGTCAAAGTGCCAGTGGATGTCCCCGTCCGGGCAGCGAAGGATGTTCCCACCTCCGTTCAGATGGCTAGGGCGCATTACGAGGTGGTTGAGCACCCGGAGGGCCTGATCTCAGCGAAGCCTTGGTTGAGATTGACCAACATGAGCGTCCAGGTAATGTCTTGGTTATTAGGCGCATAAGGCCTTCCTTGAGTTTATTTTACTTCTCCCTTCGGTGGCTAACGTCCCTGTCTTGGTTGCAAGGCGCATAAGGCCTAACTTATGTTTATTTTATTTCTGCCCCAGATGATGC